AGGAGGGATGAAGAGAAGAAGGGAAGGGAGGCTCCAAGTCCACCCCGTGATCCTGGCCTGGAAGGCTCTGCTGGAAGTGCTCTGACTATGGATGCCGTGGACTCCTGTGCAGTTCGTGGAAGCCCTTGTGCTTGTTCTCATAGTGTTAATTTTAAATGATAAGCTATCCATACTTAATTATACAGAAAACTAATTGTACTGAAAACTGATGAAGTATTGTTTAGTGTGGTTTAATATGTACTCTACTTTTACCACAATAAGTCTGCAGATATAGCTGTGGGTCTAGTAACAACTGTAATTTAAAAGCAATGATGGGTGTAAGTGTTTCGTAGGTATCTTCAATAGCTGACACATGATAAGAAAATGTCTGATTCAATCTGTTTGTGAAAGAGTCACAAGTACTGTTAACACTCCTAAGGTTGCTTGCACTTAGAATAGAAGAAATGACCAGGTTCAGTTAGTGTGATTAAGGTAAAGACGAGTGTTGTATGCCACTCAAAACCATAGCCTGCCTGCCTCCTGGAATTTGCTTTGGAAGCTTCTTCCTTCCCATGTTAGATAGGTGCATTACTGCCTCTTCTCCAGCAGGGGGAGCCTTGAGCAAGCAGGTGGGAGGCGGCTATGCTGAGAATTCAGAGCTTTCTATCACCCATCCACTTGGTCCTGGGCCTGTCTAATGTATCAAATCTCTGATGTGAAGTAGGCAGAACAAAGCTTCCTAAAAACCACTGGAGCTTCACACTGTGAAGGCATCGGCTAGCAGAGCCCAGAAGGAATGGATTGGTCGGAAGCAAGTGACTTGTGGGAAAGGGGAGACTCAGTGGTGAAGGGGCCAACTGCTGTTGTTTTCTGCTCTGCCTGGCAGGTTCATGCAGGAGCTAACAGAGATGCTGGGCTTCCGACCCTATCGCTTCTATTTCTACATGTGGAAGTTTGTGTCTCCATTGTTCATGGCTGTCCTCACCACAGCCAGCATCATCCAGCTGGGGGTGTCGCCCCCAGGCTACAGTGCCTGGATTAAAGAGGAGGTAAGTGGTGACCCTCCAAAGCCCCAGAGTCACTTGCATCTTCTCAGTCCTTTAACACAGCAGATGACCGGAACTAACTTTTCTAGGACAGCTACTCTATGGTACAGTCCTTATGGCAACCCTGGGAAGTGGCATTATTCCTCTAGCATAAAGGAGAAACAAGCTCAGCAAAATCAGCATTCTTCGTGGGTGTTCTAAGGCAGTCCCTTTTCGTGTCTGCGGGGTGGAATTACCCACCCGTCTTATACATGCAGATACTGAGGCCCCCTTTAGCCAAGGTGACGCACTGAACTCAGCGAGCACTCCCTGGGGATACCATCTCTACAGCTACTTGACCAGAGTGGAGCGAAGGGAGGAAGGAGGGCCGTGGCAAGGGTGGGAAGAGATCAGCCTGCAGGCTTGGGAGGGACATTGTCTAGAGCCCTGCAGCATGCTTCCCGCTGTCAACCCGTAGGCTGCTGAGCGCTACCTGTACTTCCCCAATTGGGCCATGGCACTGCTGATCACCCTCATTGCCGTGGCAACCCTGCCCATCCCTGTTGTGTTCATCCTGCGGCATTTCCACCTGCTCTCCGATGGTTCCAACACCCTCTCTGTGTCCTACAAGAAGGGCCGCATGATGAAGGACATCTCCAATCTGGAGGAGAACGACGAGACCCGCTTCATCCTTAGCAAGGTGCCCAGTGAGGCACCCTCCCCCATGCCCACCCACCGCTCTTATCTGGGACCTGGCAGCACATCACCCCTGGAGACCAGTGGCAATCCCAATGGACGCTATGGAAGCGGCTACCTCCTGGCCAGCACCCCTGAGTCAGAGCTGTGACCGCTACTCCATCCCACCTGCCTCCCCTCAATACCCAACCTGCCCACTCGGCTGGGCCTGGCCTCTTCCTCCATGATAGCCACCAGACCTAAGTCAGTCCAAGGAAAGAGGATCTGCCCTGCCTTGTTCCCCACCCAAGTCCCAGCAGACTCCCTACCTATGAGCAAGGGATCGGGGACAATTCCATCCCCTATTCCAGGCCTCCAACCCATATAACTTTTTGAGAACTCTTGCCAAGTTGCAGCCATGTAACCACAACAATCCCATTATGGGGGAACTTCAAGTGGGCACTTTAGGAGTCACTACCCTCTCTCCCTGTAAAATCTACCACTTGCCGTTCTCAGGTCTTGGGGAGGGTCGTTTTGTGCTGCTTTCACGGTGGTGGTGGGCAGAGGCTTTGGGGCCGAGGGCGCAGGAAGTAGACTTTAGCCCAGTCTGCCATAAGAACAGAACACACCATCCTGTTCAACCCAGCATGGCTGCTCCTGAGCTGAGATGGGAGATAGGGACATGTGTGTCAGGACTTGGGCTTTGATTTGCCAGGAGGTATATGGAAACTCCTCAGTTCTGTCTTACGAGATAGGTGGTAATCTCAGGCTTGAGTGTGAACGTGGGCATTGAAAGGAACGGCTCTGCAGCCAGCTCATGGAATCACTGAAATGTCCCTGTTTCTCCTGCCAGGGGCAGATGGGATATCTTCCTGATTCTGCCTGGGACATGGTGAAGGGGTCACCTTAGCTACAGTTTAGCCATTTGTCAGTCCCCACTATGGAACCTGGAGGTGTGGTGGTCTTTGCCTCTGTCCCGGAGAGAAAGGGAGCAGCGCAAGGCGAGGTTTCCAGAACACAGTTTGAAGGTTCACAGCACAATCTAGGTTTGGAGCACAAGTGAAACTCTCTTCCACTCTCATCTGGAACTCCATTTCCTCTTTAGTGGCAGCTTCTGCCCTGGAATGGGGGTTCCTGGAGTTCAGGGCCACATCATCAGGAACCCTCGTTTCTAAGGAAAGACAGGTAATTTCACTGCCCCTTTGGGCTGCCACTCACTCTCCTTGTTGTTGCTCAAGCACAGCCACCAGTGTTCACATCAAGTGAAGACACCTTGGAAGCCTTTCCCAGACTTCCCTAGCCTTTTCCTAGAAGTGGCACTGGTAATTCTGGGCAGGATAGAGGCTGATGGGGGCAAAGCAGAGCCTCTGGTCTTAGGCACTGAAAGAAGATGCAGCCTCTATGTCCCCGACCTTCTTTCAAAGCTCCCCTGGGAGACAGGCTGTTTCAGAGCATCCTGTAAGGACACAGGAGATGACCTGAGAATCAGGGTGTCTTTCTGCAGTATGACCTCAGAAAGATGGTGTATGGTACATATGGCCGATAGGCTAGGATGGGTGGGTGGATAGATGGATGGGTAGAATAAACATATATAAATAGGCCCAGGAACCCCCCTTCTACTCCTACGCCTACTGGTTACCTTCCTTCCTAGCCTGAGAGGTCCATCCCTTGAGCTTGCCATCTCTCTTTTTCCTCAGTTCCTCACACCTTCTTACACTTCTAGCCTTCTTGGTCCCATCTGTCCTAGAATTTAAGGTGAGAGGGAGTCTGGATCTCCCTAAAGAGATGAGCTTTTGGGGCACAGCATCCCATCATCGGCCCCCTCACCTGACAACACCTCTTTCTTGGCCCCATGCCTAGTCCCAAGCAAAATTAGAAAACAGGAAAACCAGGCCCCAGCACACTCCACTATCTGTACTCCTCTCTATATGCTATTTCTATTGTACATTCAATCTGTACATGTGGGTGTAAATGCTGTGAAATGACAAACCCAATATTATACTGTGGCTGGTGGACTATTTTCATCCTCAGTGCTGTACAGATCTATTTTCATTGTATATTTGATATATTTTTAATTTTGTAGCGTGGCTGGGCCAGGCCTGCAGTGAGTGGGGGGTGGGGGTGGGGTGGGGAGCTGAGCTGGGGTTGTTTGCTTATGCATTGTGAACTCTGTCGTGTTTGTTGTAGCCTTTTGCTGTAGGTCAGAACCTGTCCTGGCTGCATCTTTGCTGTGAGTTGGACATAGGACCCAGAGTGCTCCCGCTCTCTCTGTATGTGTGTGCACCTGTGTGTGTGTGTGTGTGTGTGTGTGTGTGTGTGTGACATTGGTAGATGTGAGTGCCTAAGGTGCTGCTCTGTGACACCCCCAACCCCTACCCAGTCAGTGTTCACCACTTTCTGAAGGCCCAGGTCTTCTTCTCAGCTTTGTGGGGGAGGCATCAGGACAGGCACTTCTGAGAGCACTAGGAAGGCATGTGTTTCCTGCAGGTGACTCATTGTCATTACACCTTTGGTGGGAAGGAGGGCCTTGGGTGGGGGGAAAGCCCCGTTTATTTTCCAGTAAACCTTCTGTTGTTCACACCGGAGTCACGTGGTCTTCGGCAGACAGCACTGGCTTCCTTAGGCTAGCTGCCTGAGGGAGGCATCTCTGGCCCTCCTGTCCTGCATTTGTCCTTGAAACAGTCCAGAGTACCCAGAAAGCAACAGCTGCTTCTTAGACCTTTGTTGACTCCTCAGGAGAGACGAGGTGGAATCACCTGACACTGAAGATCCAGCCCCAGCTTCCTAGGAGAAGCTGTGGGTGAGGGCCAAATCTCTAAGCCTTTGTAAAGGGTCCCCACTGCCACCGGCTGGTGCTGCCCATACAGTGCCCACCAGGAGACAAGAGGTTTCAGGAGCTGTGAGTCAACTGAGCCGGGGCAGGGCAGAGGTACACAGAAGGGTCCCCTGTTCTGCCCGTGTCCCAGCCTCCTGCTCAGGGAGCCTGCAGCCCTTTTCACAGAGACAGTGTGAAGCCTGAGGCCCAGTTCGGGTGGCCAGGGAGACATGAGACACAGAAGGAAATGCAGGTGAGGTTGGCTTCTGCCATCAAGCAATAAATCTTCAGGGGCTGCTGCTTTTTAAGTGCCAGGAAATGCCCCCAAGAGGCAGCCTGTGTGAGCCCTGAGGCTGTGAGCCAGGCCCCATGAGGGTCTGCAGTATTACAGGCAGGGGCTGCCCTTCTTCTCTTCCTTACCACCCTCCTCCCCCAAGCAGAGTAGGTCCCCTCTGTGAGAAGAGAAGTGACAGTGAGAATCTTGCACTCTGTGCACTGCTGGGTTCCTCCTCCTAGGCCTGAAATTTGGGGAGCAGGTGGAGGAGGACTTGGGGTCATTTCTCATAAGAAGTCCTAAACACACACTGGTCCGTCACTTCAGGTCCTGGCACAGCCTCACAACAGTTTAACTCCCGTGTCCTGGACTGGTCAGATCCCTGAGTCAGGATACTCAGTCCATGAGAGGGATGAGGCATTGTGACCCCAAGGCCCCTCCTTCATCTCCCTTACCCTGGTGTACAATAAAGTGTCTGTTCTTACCACCTTCTCTTGCCTTTCTTACACATACAGGAGCGAGGGGAGCTGCGGGAGACTTTGAGACAAACGTGTGTTTTAGGGTGGGGTAAGGGCTGTATTCTTGTGGATGCTGGCTGTTTGGGAAATTTGGGGATGTATATACAGTCAGTCTCCTAAGAACATCCCTAGGTATAAACAATGTGCACACTGTGCTTGGCCTTACTGTGTCCCAGGAACTCTGTACATCTTTGCCCTGAGGGAGATGCTTGGTACCTACATTTTTCCAGGTAAGCAAGGTGAGGCTGCATCTAATATGAGGACAGTGTTTGGTGTCCTCTCCCAGGGCTTTTCAGGGGCCATTCTTATCCTGCCTGGCTTCAGAAAAAACTATATATGTCCACTCTGCAAGGGGATACCAGAGGTCTGAGGGAGAACACAAGAAAGGCAGAGGTCGGACCTGGTCCTTAGGGAAGTGAGCTAGTTCACAGCAAGCCATGTTCTAAGTTCTGAGAGAGTTACCCCCCCCCCACTTCGGATGTCATCCTTTGGAATCTTCAGTGGAAGCTGAAGGTGAAGTATAAGATGTGAAACCCCATGTTTTGTTACGTAAGCACCCACCTAATGCAGGACTGTGAAGAACAGAGTGAGCTGTTGGCAGGGAAGCCCCTCGTCCTGCCTCCAGTAGGAGACAGTCTCCAGAAGAACCTCACTCTCATCCTGATCTGAGGTGTGGATCAGCACTTCTCCACCTCAGTCTCATTCAGCAGGGTCCTCCATAAGAACCTTCCTTTTCCTTTCCCTGACACCCATTGTTCCAAGAGCAGCCACCAGGTGGCAGGAACCCCTTTCTGTCCACTTTTAGTCTGGGAAACCTCTTCAAAAATGTCACTTACTCTGTGGGGTATTCACTGAACAGACATTAAGAACACACCATGGGCTTACCATGTTAGCCATAGACAGCCCCCAAACAAGGCAAATCAGCACCCAGTGCCCTGAGTTTGGCCAAGGAGGCACCTCTTTATCCCATCAAATCCTCCTACTTCTCTCTCAAACAAGGGAATGTCCCAGTGTTGGACAAATCATTCTTTATACAGCTACTCAATCTTTTGGTAATTTTGGTTAAAATGGCAGCCATCCCTCCAGGAGGGGTACATAGACACCAAGCCACAAAATAATAAGGGCCTCCTGGGAATGGAGCTCTGAAGGCAACTTCTTAAAGTCTAGTTGAGGTTCAAGTGTCAGGTGGGTCTTGTCTTTCCTGGGAGACTTTAGCTTTAGGCTACTTGCTTAATCTCTTTGAGCCTACATTTTCTAATTTGGAGCAGGGAAGGGGGCAAGAAAAGAGGGAGAGAATATTTTGAAGGAGATAACACACCCCAAGTCAATTATCTCTTGCAGTGTTTCAAATCAGTCCAAATTTTAAAACAGCCATTTATATTATACCTCATGTGAATCAGGAATTCCAGCACGGATTGGGACATTAAATTGGTGGAAACTAAGGCAGTATTCAGTTGGTAGAAGAGCTGGTCTGGAAGTCGAAAGGGAGAAGGGAGTCCTTCTGCAACTGACTTTTTTTTTTTTTTTTTTTTTTTTGAGACAGGGTTTCTCTATATAACAGTCCTAGCTGTCCTGTCACTCACTCTATAGACCAAGCTGGCCTCGAACTCACAGAGATCCACTTGCCTCTGTCTCCCAAGTGCTGGGATAAAGGACGAACACCACCACACCCAGCTGCAACTGACCTTTCTCTTTTTTACTTTCCATTCATTTATTTAGCTCATAAATAAAGTCATGCACATTTATGATACATAATACAGTATGTTCACAATGGCATGGCTAAATTAAACCAATTAACATGTTATATCACACATGTTCATCATTTTTGTTTTGAGAACACTTAAAGTATACTATCTCACAACTTTTAAAATATAGCATATTGTTATCAAACATATTTATCATGCTCTCAGTAGACCTCAAGACATCACAGAGTCCATGCCTCTTGTCCAACTGCAGTTTTATATCCTTGAACCAATCGTTTCCCCATTTGCAAATGACCTTTCTAACAGCTCATTTCGAGTGACAAAATTCTTACCTGATGACTCAAAGTACTCGAGAAAACCATTTCAAGAGTAGAAAAAATGGAAACTAAGCGGGAGGCTGTCCATTTCATAAGGCCTGGGCTTGGGAATATATAGCTTCCACCATAATCTATGGGTCATAGCATAACCCAGACCTCACTGTAGGTTGGAAATGCAGGGGTGCCCATATAATAAACCCGTTCTGGGGCATTAGATGTTTCCATCGTCCATCTTTGGCATTTTTGTGGAAGCTTTTCCTGAGAGGATGTCAATTTTTAAGCACAGAACTGAGACACACACAAATCTCTTCTAATGAGGAGATGACCAGCTAAATTCGGGGCCTGAATAGAGGCAATAGGTAGGGGATAATAAGGGCGTCTAAAGGACTCCAGAGACAGCTTTTGTCCCCATTTTCACCCCAGGGACAGGCAGTATGAGGTTGTTTCAATCATGAGTCTGTCACCAACCTTGGACAGGCTACTTAACTTTCTGAACCGGTATGACAATAAAATCTCTTCCTTGAGATGCTGGAAGGAATAAATGAACTCCCGAGGTACCAGATGGAACTGAGCATAGAAGTTTTTCCATAGGGGGAATGTAATACATAGTAATTATTGCTCACATCTATCTTCCACCCCTGGGAGAGTGCATTTGTCTTGTTTCACCCATGCAATGAACCAGCATCCCGGGACAATTGTTAAAAGACTGTCTCATACTAACCCTGGAAGAAGCCAAGGAAGGAGGAAAGAAAAGGTCCCCTTTCCAGGAAAGCAGGTGTTCACTAATCCCATCCCTGTCCTCTTTCCTTCTTAGCCACAACCAGATAGAGAGCCTCATCCAGCCCTAGTCACAGGCATGGGCTGAAGAATTCTATAAATTCCAGGAATGTGGTGGTTTGTTGTTGGTGAATTTTCAAAGGCACCCCCATTCTTTAACCCTCTCCCAGTGAGAATATTCTCTG